ACAGTGGAGGGGCAGTTGAAGGGCTCTGGTGCTGTTCTTCAGAGTCACAGAATGCCAAGGGCTCTGCACATCATTTATCCTGCCCATTAATTTGATGGGAAAACCAAGGCCTAGAAATAGGAAGTAGCTTGCACAGCTAGTTTTTTCCTCTCACTAGGAAAACAAGTAGAGCACTCTCCCTGGGTCCTTGGGGTCAAATAGAGCTCTACCCCTCCTCCTGACAGCCTTCTGACTTCCTAGAGAATGGGAGCGGGGCGCTGGCTTTCCAGCCTCTTCAGACTGCCAGGCAGACAAGAGAAGCGTATGACAGACTCCCCCCATCTCCAGGAAAAGCGAGTTTTCTTCTTGCCCCTCTCTTCGCAAGGCTTGGAGCACTGTTGGGTGTTCAAGAGTCCCTCACCCTCTAAGCTTTGCCTCTGGGAGATGCCAGCCCCTCGAGTGTGGGAGAGAAGCTAGAAACCACAGGGGTGGAGGAGGTCAGGTAAGAACCCACCCTCCTATCCCCAAGCCCCAATTATGGAATCCATTCTGACCTAGTTTGGGGTTCTTCTCACACACCCACATTCATCCACAAACATCTGTGCAGCTCATCCCCACACTTGCATGTGTTTAGGTGTATGCCGGGGAAGGGAGAGGGTGGTAATAAGGGGGCCCCTTTGGGGTTAAGACGCGCTGTTGGCCCACCTGGTGCTCATAAAAGCATGAGAATTATTATACGTGCCAGCAGGCAGCGGTATCCCTGGGTCACACCACATGATCTTGGTGAAGCACCTGGCATTCGGTAGGTGCTCAGATCTGCAGCAAATGAGTGAATTAGTGCATATTATTGGAGACTGAGGCATGGTGTGGGAAATGCTGATCCATCTAGTGGTTTCTCTATGGGGCTGGAGAGTATTGCCTGAAATGGCTGCCCTCTGACAGGGCATGTTTATGCATTCATTTCAGACTCCCATTCTGAAGCCAAAGCTCAGAGGGGTTATGTGATGTGCCCAACATCATGTAGCCAGATAGGGGCAGAGCCAGTACTTGATCCCAGCCCTGCCAACTCCTAGGCCAGAGCTTTCCTGACCGCATTGCACTCCTTGCTTCTCTTGGAGTGTCACTAAACCAGGGGATGGGGGGCAGGCTGGTGGCAAACTGCTGATGACACTGGGGGCTTTGGCTCACCTTCCTAGGAGGTGCTGCTCCTGCCCAGGGCATCCTTGGAGGCTCACTGGGCACAAGCCAAGGTGGACTTTGTTCTCCACAGTAGACTCTCCCTTCCCACTTTCACTAAAGGTTAGTCCTAGAGTTCCCTGAAAAGCAAAGCTGAGTTAGACAACCTGGACTCAAATCCCAGCTCTGCCACCTTCTAGCTATCAACTCTTGGCTAGTTACCTAACTTCTCTGTGCCTCGATTTCTTCAACCATACAAAGGGTAGGACTATAAAGTAAACGGGAGTTCCTGAGCGGTGCAAACAGTTAACATGCTAGCCTGCTAACCAGAGGTTGGAGGTTCAAGTCCACCCAGAGACACCTCAGAAGAAAGGCCTGGTGACCTACTTCTGAAATATCAGTTGTTGAAAACCCTATGGAGAACAGTTCCACTCTGACACACATGGGGTCACCATGAGTTGGAGTCAGCAGCAACTGGTTAACTTATAAAAATAACTCTCTCACAGGTTGTTGAGAGGCACAAGAGAGGATGCATATAAAGGCTTACTGCAGGGACTGGTAGATGTAAGTGCTCACCATAATCAGTGAGCCAGCATATACGAACGGACTGCCTCCTGGTGCCAAGCACTAGGCTGGGCACTCATAAGTGTTATTAAAATTTAATGGAAGTGGAGTACAGAGTAGAAAAGAGCCAAGAAGAAACAGAACAGTTGATTCTTCCCAGCCAGACTCTTTGGAGGCTGCCCTAGAGAATGCTGTGTGATGGGCCTGTCTCCTCTCTCCATCTCTATGAGGTTTGGATGCTTTGTTCCAAAGACCTGCAGTCAAATCCCATCCAGCCCTGCAGGGAATGAATCCTGAAATGTGAACATTGGGGAGGAGGGCTCAGAAAAGCCCACACTGTCCAGGGCAGGTCACAGCTAGATCTGTGAGCCAAGGAGCCCGGCCAACCCTTGGCCCCAGCCTCGCCCACAACCTCCCATCTCCTGACACGACAGGCTCTCCTCCCTGGCAGCAGGGTATTAGAAGAGATCTGCCCAGGCACAGGATGTGAGTGCCCTGTGCTCCACTGGAGGGAGGATTACTCAGCTGGTCAATCCTGCCTCCCTAGAATCCTGGTGTTCAGAGAAAGAATGCTAAATCGCACTCCCCCCAGTCAGCTCTGACCAGTTCCACCCTGGAGCAACTCCTCAAGCTTTCTTCAGTTCTGTCCACACCATTCAATGAGACACTTCCCTCACTCACCCCATCGACTCAATCCTATTCCCCAAGAGCCTCCCACTCCCCCTGCCTGTCTCCCTTCTACTGAGCCTAACTGGGGACCCTGTGTCATTTTGTGATTAAGAACAAGGTTCGGGTTCAAACTGGCAACCACTTAGGGGTTCAGAAGAAATTCCTAGCTATCCTTTGAGGAGCCAAGGAGCACGTTTTTAAGAGACCCGGGCTGTTTGAGCTGGAAATATACATGAAGTCTGTCATTACTGTGCACAATTGGAGGGCCTTCAGGTCTTAAGGTAGGAAGTGGGGCTTCTACTGCAGAGGACCGAGAGAAGTGTCTATCCTGCTGGCAGGGTCTCTGTGCCTAGGCTGTGCACTGCACAACTCCAGGGAGTGCCATTCACATCAGGGCACTCCAGAGTCATGCCTACAGTGGCTCTGAGCTTGCAGCCTCCTGCCTTTCTGCAGAAGCTACCAACGGACCCAGGGCCAGGCCTCCTGCTCAGCCTCCTTCCTCTTCCTTCTCCTCTCCCCGACCCTTATTCCTACAGCCAAGGCGCCGTAAATGGGGTTTTAGAGGAAATTTGCCCTACAAACAGCTGAGATCACCTAAATGCCCCAAAGCTTTCCAAGAGTCTTATGCAGGTCTTGCAGAATTTTGAATCTGGTGCCTTTCTTCTGATGAACTGCGAGGAAGGGGAAGTGGCTGGCATCCATACAGGGAGACAGGTGGGCAGCCCTGTGCCATGGGGTCGGGCAGCCCGTCCTTTATCCTCACCCACAGAGTGGGCTATGGAAACAGGTGGAGGGAGGGAGGAGGGGAGGAATCTTTTATTTTTAAGCCCTTACTGTTCTGATTAAGCATCTCTTTTTCCTCCGACCTTCACCGGTCCCATCAGCCAGCGAGTAGGCAGGAGGCCTGGGCCAGTGACACATGGATTCCGGATGGGCCAGCGTGCTGCCGCCCCCTCGCTGCCGCGGCCCGGTGCTTCCCAGCAGCAGCGGGAGACTGCGCTAATCTGTGCTGGGCCTGCAGGTGCCGCGGCGAAGGCCTTGCAGGAGCCCCGGGCCACCCTCGCTGGCCACGCTGTGAGTGGGGCAGAGCCCGAAGCCAGACCGCCCTCTCTGGGCCAGACTGCTCAGCCCGGGGACCCAGGCCCCGGCGTTGTGCTGTTCCACCCTCCCTGCCCCCGATTAATTACAATCTGCCACTTTGACTTCTGTTGTCTCACGATAACAAGAAGATAACGTATCTCTGCCTTTCTCATCACTTGGCTGAGAAGCATATGAAGCATGTGTACTTGAAACACATTCCTAAGGAACTTCTGGATGCACGTAATTCGCTAGAGAAGACGAGAAAGGTCACGGTGTGGCCTGTGTGTATGAGCAGGGTCGGATGAGAGGATGTGGAAGCCAGTGAGAACAGGGGTCGTCAAAGAAGCTTTCTGGGCGCAGGGCGCCAACGAGCACCAGGTCGCCGGGATGAGCTTGCAGCATCCGTGCCCATCCCCCATCCCCTCCGTTCTCGGGGTCCCGGCCACGCCCTCTGCCCCCCCCCCTCGCCTGTGCCCGCTGCGAGGAAGGAGCGGCTCTTCTGGGAACGCCGCCTTTGATTTCTCCTCTGATCTACAGGTGCCCGTAAACAAAGTACTGCAGCGACGCCGGCTCGTCCGCAGCCGCCGCCCCGCCCCCACCCCGCAAAGTTCGGCCCAAGGTTAAGCCGGGGGCTCCGGAACGCGTCCATCAAGGGGCCCTCCACCCAGCTTCTGGGCTCCTCTCTGCTTTTCCAGCCCACCAGGCTACGGAGTCTTCCTTCCGGCTCGGAGCCGCTCCTCTTTCTCTGGGCCGGGCTCGCCACTGCTCGGTGGGTCCCGCAAAACCAGCCTCCGCTGGCGCTCACGCCCCTGCGCGGGGACCCCAGATCTGGTTCTGGGGGCCACCTGGAGGTGACTTGGGCATTTTCACCGCCGTCGCCCGCCCCCCATCACAGACATGCCTTTCACCATCTTGCCTTATAAGCCCCCCACCCCAACTCAAAGCCCCGGCCTCTGTCACCCCCTCTTCTCAAAGCCCAGGTCGGGAACAGAGGGCACCAGCCAAGGCGATGCTACGGTCCCCGCCGGCACCACCCAGACCTGCCCCTCCGCAGTGCCCCGTATGTGGAGCCTGCAGCGACCACCCGGCTAGGGGCAGGCACCGGGACGGATGACAAAAACCGTGGCTAGCAGGTCTGAGGGCCGAGCCGCAGCAAGGGTCCCCGCCCCCCCTCACCCCGCCCTGCATCCGTCTGCATCCCGCACCCCTTTTCAGTGCCCAGCCTGCTGAGGAGACCCTGTCGCGAGTGGGCGCCCCCGGAGAGTCTCCTCGCCCGATACTCGCTGGGGACGGCGTGTAGGATTGGGGGTCCCGGGCGGCGAGGACAAGGGGAGAGGGTCCTGGGCTGTGACGGCGGCGGCTGGGCAGAGCCGGGGGTGCGGGTTGTTTACTCTCGGTGCAATTAGCCGGCTGGGCTGCGGGAGCAGTGGGCTGCGACGTGCAGCGGCCGTTCCCGCGCCCAGGGCTCTGCCCCGAAGCGCCCTCCCCAACCCGCACCCCCAGGCCCGACCCTCGCGCGCCTGCAGACTCACGTCTCGGAAACGGTTCCAGTGCTTGATCTTGCCGCTGTACTGCGAGATGGACGACAGCCATTGCTCGTCCTCCATGAAATTGCCGGGGGTCTCGCCCTCCTTGAGCCCTCTGGCGTCGCCTTCGGCCAGGGCGGCCGCGGCAAGGAGCAGCAGTGGCAGCGCCAGCTGCCCGCAGCTCGGGGCGCGCATCGTGGTCTGGGTTCGATCTGGAGTCCCTTGACTTCTGCAGTATTTTAATGTCCTTCCTCCCACTCCGCGGTTGGCTCAGCTTCCTCTGCCCTCCTCCTGCGGTCTGACTCCGGTGAGAGATGGATGGTGGGTCGCGGCTGAAATGTGACCTGGTTAGGAGATTGCACTTGTCTGAAAAAGCCCAGCGCTGGACGCGGAGAAGGAGAGAGAATCAGAGAGGCTGCGCCAGCAGGGGCTGTGTCTGTAACTGTAGCATCAGCATCACGTTTGACATCATCATACCTGGTTTAAAAAAAAAGGGGGGGGGTAAATTTCAAAGCGAAGCTCTAGATCAGAGCGCCAGCCGCAGCTGAGCCCAGCTCAGCCCTCCAGGAGTTGCAAGCTGAGGAATCAGAATCCGGAGGGTGGAGAGCACGATAAAGGGTCCCAGGGTGTCCCCAGGGAATATGGGAATTGGGTGAAGACACACAACTCCCTGGTTACAAAATCAACCGGGCTCCGGTGTCGAAAAGGGAATTTGGCCACACACACTCTTTTTCTCCCCTTTCCTCCTACCCAGAGCAGGTCACGCCACAGCCCTGACAGCTGGCTTCCCTCCAGTTATGGCTCGACGGTAATGGGTGGCTTCCTTAAGACAAAAGTCATATAACAACTGGCTGCCTCAGAATGACTGCTCCCCGGCCCCGCATGCTCTTTTCAAGGCAAGGCCTGAGAACTGAATGGCTGCTAAAACAGAGGCAGATGTCCTCCTCCCCAAGCAGCTGTCTAGGGGCCGTCACCCCTTTTGTTCCTTGGGCAACCCTAAAAGGCAAATGTCTGACCATTTCATCTGCCTTGAGGCTGCACATTTGGAAAAGGCACATTTGCTCATGGTTTTGGCTTCAAGTTGATTTTAATAAGCCACTGGGGAAGGGAGGGCTGTCTGGGGGTGTTTGGATTTTTGTGAAAATTGTGACCCTTGTGATTGCCTGTAGAAATGTGTTGACATGCCAGCTGGGAAGGCTGGAGGCTGGCCACGGTCCCAGGATCAGAGCAGAAGTGGGGTGAGGTTTACATTACAAATAAATTGAAGAGGAAACAGACAATCTGACAGGACAAAACATTGAACTTCTGAGACCCAAGCCCTAGACTGTGTTTTTATAAAAAGACTTCGATGCTGTGTTCTTTAAAAAAAAAAAAAAAAAAACAAAGGCAATGGAAAACATGATCTTAATCAGTAGGAAAAACACAGGTTACAAGGTTCATAGTCACCCTGAGTCTGGCCTGCCTGGGAATTTTGAACGCCTCGGTGTCTTGGGCTGGCGTCCCCTTGGGAAAATAGAAAACAATAGCTCCTTTTCCTTGTTTTCCTTTTTCCTCTCCAGCTGAATTTAGTGGAGGTGCTGCAATGAGGCCTGGCCACTGATGTCTTCATGTCACAGTGAATAAAGCAGTCTTACTGGGTTGGGAGGTGGTGCTATAGTGGAGGAGCACAGCTTTGCTGTCATGTAAACTGGTGATGGAATCCCGCTTACTAGCTGGGTTCTTGACAAGGTACCTATTTCTGTGTATAAAGTAATGGTAATGCCACCTATCTGAGCAAAATTACATACTAAGCACGGTGCCTGAGCATAGTGGGCATTTAAAATATGTTACTTCTTCTCCCCTTAGGTGAGGAAGAAAAGACTCTGGTGTCCCAGTTTTGAAGATTTACCAAAATTTGCCATCTTTTCCCTCCATGTCATTCCTAGTCTTTTAGCAAAGCTAATTATGTATCTTCAAAGCAGTGAGGAGATAGATCCAAAACTCTCCCATTTCAGTACTCTCTTATAAACTGAAGCCCCTGGGCTTCTACAGTTACCAAAGTTGCCCAATTAAGAGTTTGGAAAGGTGTTGACAAGATAGATGTCCCATCGATAAGACAAGAGCTGTTTCCAGACCTTTGAAGGTCAAAGTGTTTCCCATACTCCTGGGCAGCTCTTCTAATGGAACTGCCTTCAGTATTAGGCCTGTGCTGAAAAGCAAGTCAACAGCAGTCCAAGACTGTTAGTTAAGCTAGTAGTAAAGCTGCTAGTACAGGGAGAATCCAAATTTCCAGATGATGGGGATAACAGCTGTAGAAAATGCCCAATGCTCTTGTTTATAAAGAAGAAAAGGTTTTCCTAAACTTTGAGAGAGTTATAGTGGATCACACACAAAGGAACTGCTGGGTATATTTGTTCAATGGTATATATGTTTTATGCATTTTTTTCTGTTTGTATTTAATATTTAGCAATGCAAAACAGAGGAGAGGAGCTTTAGTTTCCTAATAAGAAACTTAAATTTAACCACATCTTTAAAACAATTAACTCCATTTCTAGATGACCTCATAAGCACGAAAAGATAAATGCATAAAGATGTTCATTCCAGAGTTGTTATAAATAGCCAAACCTGGAAACGAACTCCATGACCATTAGTAAGGAACTAACTAAATTATATATATACAATGGAATATTGGTCAGATGTTAAAAATAATGATATATCACAAATGTGACCCACTACATATTGTTGGGTAAGAAAAGCCAGTTACAGAAGATCATGATCCCAGTTGGAAGGAAGCATAGTATAGCGCAGCAGTTCTCAAACTGTCTGGTCTTGTGAGCCCTTTATGCTAACAATTTATTGAGTACCCCAAAGAACTTTGATGTGGGTTATATATATATTTACTATACTTGAATAGAAAACTAGGACGTTTAAAATATTTATTATTTTAAAATAACAAAAATGAGCCCATTACATATTAACAAAATAATATATTTCATGAAAAACAACTATATTTTCCAAAAAAACTTCAAAAAAATAGTGACAAGAGTGGTATCATTTTACGTTTTTGCAAATTTTTTAAATGTCTGGCTCAATAGAAGACAGCTGGATTCTCCTATCTGCATTACAGCAGGGAGAATCAAAAATAGTTAAGAGTACTTCCATATACTCAGAACAGCCTGAGTTAATCTCTAAAAACATTTATAACGTAAGCCTACCAACTTAAGAAATTCTAGAAAACCCAAAAATACACAACCACACTTTCCATTAACCATCAGAGTGATGATGTCATCATGTCATGTAGCTTCCAGAAAACTCCACTCTCACTCCTGAGGGAATGAGAGTGAAAAAGGCAAATAACACCTTAGTATTTTTATAAAAATAGTTTTACCTCACAGACCCCCTGAAATGTTCCCAGAGACTCTCAGGGGTCTGCAGACCACACTTTTTGAGAACTGCTGGTACATTGGTTAAGAAAAGCACTGTTACAAGATATATGACCTTGGGCAAATGTCTTAACTTTGCTAAGCATCAGTTTTATCACTTGTAAAATGAGTATAATAACACCAACCTCAGTGGGCTGTTACAAAGAGTAAATGAGTTAATACTCCAATAAACGACACATGTGAGCATTCAACTATAATAATATTTGCCATTTGTGAAAAATTACTTAATGATATATATGCATAGAGAACAGTTTCCTCTAGGTGATGAAATTTATTTTTAAAATAAACATTTAAGTATAACATACATATAAAAACTACAAAGTATAAGTTTACAGCTGTATAAAAAGTATAAACGTATGGCTTGATGATTTTTCACAAAGTGAATTTATTTTATCTTTGTTTAAATGAACATTTTCCAAAATAAAAAAGTTAAATAAATAATAATAAATAATATAATAATATAAATAATAATATAAAAATAATAAATGAATAAATAAATAATTCAAACTCACAAAAAAAGACTAGACTTGTAAAGGATTTTATTTTCTCTTGATATAGTAATCTTCTCTAACTTTCTACTATGAGTTGATACTGCTGTAATAACTAGGAAGAACTCACTTTTAAAAAAGAAATAATACAAAAAAATTTTTCTTAATTAAGTATAAATTTTAATTCACTTTGTTGATTTTCTTAGAATAAATTCCTTTTAAAAATAACTGTTAACTCCAAAGGACTAATGGATCACAGCTACCACGGCCTCCACCAGACTGAGTCCAGTACAGCTAGATGGTGCCTGGCTACCACCACTGACTGCTCTGACCCAGATCACAATAGAGGGTCCTGGACAGAGCTGGAAAAGGATGTAGAACAGAATTCTAACTCACAAAAAAAGACCAGATTTACTGGCCTGACAGACTGGAGAAACCCGGAGAGTATGGCCCCGGACACCCTTTTAGCCTGGTGGTGAAGCCCCTCCCGAAATTCACCGTTCAGCCGGGGATTGGACAGCCTTATAAAACAAAACAGGACTAATGAGGCACAGCAGTCCAGGGACAAGCACTAGAAGGCAGGGGGGACAGGAAAGCTGGTGATAGGGAACCCAAGGTTGAGAAGGGACAGTGTTGACGTCATGGTGTTGTTAACCATTGTCATAGGGCAGTATGTGTACTGTTTAATGAAAACTATTTGTTCTGCAAACCTTCATTTAAGGTAAAAAAAAAAAAGAAAAAAAAAAAGAATTATCTATGTGAGATCAAATTGACAACAGTAACTCAAAAGGTTTGATGGGAAGCCTAGGGGGCAGTGAGTTGAAGATAATGGTGATGGAATAATTTGGAAAAGGACAGTGAGAATAGCAGCACAACTGGAAGAATGTAATTCATGTCACTGAATTGTACATGTAGAAACTTTCAAAATGGTGTAACTTTGGCTATGTATATTTTCACCAAAAAAAAGGTCGAGAAGGGAGAGTGTTGACATGTCGTGGGGTTGTTAACCAATGTCATAAAACAATATGTGTACTGACTGTTTAATGAGAACTATTTATTCTGTAAACCTTCATCTAAAGTACAATAAAAAAATTTAAAAAAGAAAAAAGAACTGTTAACAAAAAAAACTGTTAGAGGCTTCTGATACATACTGTCAAAGTTCCAAAAAAATGTCTACCAATTTACACTTTCTCCAGAGTAAATATAACAGTTCTCATTTTATATTAACTTAGTTAGATCTGAGTAAGTTTTAAAGTCTTTGCTAATTTGATAGGCAAAAAAGTGTAATTTAGCAGTTGTTTGAAACTGTACTTTTAAATTACTGATAAGATTTTTTTTCATACTTTAAATCAGCCATTTGTACTTGAGAGACCATGGAGTATAGTAATTAAGAGTCAAGGTGTTTGGGTTCAAATCAGAGCTATGCCACTTATTATTTGTGTAAACTGTGCCTCAGTTACTGCACCTGTAGAATGGGGTAAAAAGCAGACATCTCATCTGTTGTTGTGAGGATTACATGAGTCAGTACACGCGGGACTTTAGAAAAGCAGCTGGCACTCAGTAAATGTCAGCAGTGTTTCTGCAGCCACGGATTTTCCTTCTCTCTACATTCTGTGTTCATGTCCTCTGCACGTTCTTCTATTAGGCTTTACATTTTAGTGCTATCAGACCTTTCTTGTTTAAATATTATAGATATCAAACCTTTTCTTAGTGTATTTGCTGCAAACATCTTTCCCATTATGTTTGTTTAAATATTAATACTTTTTACTATATAAAAGTTTTACATTTTTAGATAGTTAAGACCGTCTGTATATTCTTTTCTGGTATCTTTCATTGCTTTGGTGCTTAGGATGTCTTTGACCATCCACAGGTCAGATAAACAGTTATATATCTTCTTAAAAAAAAGAAAAAAAGACTAGACTTACTGGTCTAACAAACAGAGACCGGAGAAACCCTGAGAGTATGGCCCCTGGACACCCTTTTAACTCAGTACTGAAGTCATTCCTGAGGTTCACCCTTCAGCCAAAGATTAGACAGGCCCATAAAACAAACAATGATACACGTAGCTCAGCTATGTATACGAGACTAAACGGGTACACCAGCCCAGGGCAAGGACAAGAAGGCAGGAGGGGACAGGAAAGCTGGACAAATGGAAATGGGGAGCCCAAGGTCGAGAAGGGGACAGTGTTGACATGTCACAGGGTTGGCAACCAATGTCACAAAACAATATGTATACTAATTGTTTAATGAGAAGCTAATTTGCTCTGTAAACCTTCATCTAAAGCACAATTAAAAAAAAAAAGTTATTAAAAAACAACCACAACAGCGGCCACTTTACTCACTTACAGTAGCCTTGGGCTTTCATATCTGTGCTCCCTCTTGGTATTAAGATGGAATCTGAAAGGTGTTCCATTGACCCAACTCAATACATCTCTGGTACCGTCAGGTCCCCTTTAGCTCCAGGAAAAATTGCACAGCGCAAAAGCAAACCTGAACTAAGCTTTATGTCATTGTGACACTGAATTCTAGACAATGTCTAGTTTGGTGAACTCTGGAGCTCACTTAAAAATTAGTCATTAAAAGCAACATTGATAATGTCTCTACCATGGATATGGAGTTCATTTGGGGGTAACTCATTGTGCCCGCCTCCCAAAAATCAAAATTACGTTCCATAACAAAGTTTCTTGTACAACAACACAGATCTTGTGTAAGTTCAATAGTGGTGGGAGATTGTTCCCTCCCTCTCTTAGAGGAATTGAGGTCAGTGCCTCAAAAGCTGGCTAGAGCTATGTTAGGGACAGTTTAACTCTGTCTTAATGTAGAATGAATTGCAAAGTGTTAACATTCAAGGATTCTATTATAAATACAGTAGCAAATCCTCTAACATTTATCCCATTATAATTTGATGAGAGGAGACCTTGGAACTTGAAAAATTCTTTTAGCTCCATCAAAAATTATCTGCTCTAAGAAACCCCAAGAGTATGGCCCCTGAACTCTTTTAGCTCAGTACTGAAGTCACTCCCGAGGTTCACCCTTCAGCCAAAGATTAGACAGGCCCATAAAACAAAACAAGACTAAATGTGCACAACAGCTCAGGGGCAAGGACGAGAAAGTAGGAGGAGACAGGAAAGCTGGTAATAGGGAACTGAACGTTGAGAAGGGAGAGTATTGACATGTCGTGGGGTTGGTAACCCATGGTCCAAAACAATACGTGTACTGTTTAATGAGACGCTGGCTTGTTCTGTAAACCTTCATCTAAAGTACAATACTAAAAATTTTATAAACCCGAAAGAAAAAAAAATGGTGAAAACATCTCTTGTCTAATTTCCCAATGCCAGATCATTAACTATATTTAATGTCAATCACTTTTTACAGTTGACCAATTCCTCAGTTGCCTTTGGGAAGAACTAATCTTGCCAGCACCAATGTGTAAATCCTGGATGAACTGGCCATAGCTAAACTTGTGAATAAGTGATGGCAACACTGTACCCCAACAGGCAATGACAAAGGGGGTCAAATTAGAACCATGTGATAATACTATAAGAAAAACACAGTTACTGTGGAAATTCATTTATTCACAAAGGATCTGTGTAGCCACACTGATAAACAAATCCGAGTGTTATACACAGCCCACACGATGGAGCGACCTTGACACAGTGGGTTTGAATCCGATTTATCTAACAGAAAGTAAGAATCAGGAATGACGGAAAGAGAAAGAGAGGACATGGAGGGGCAAAGCTGGAGCTGGGAGCACTCCCTCTCTCCTCTGGTCTGCCGCAGGGAAGGCAAGGCGTGCCTCTGTGGCTGACGATCTTCCAGACAACGTTGCAAAGTTCTGCTGATATCATGGCTGTTCTATTGCTGCTGCCCTGAGAAGCAAACAGAAAAGAGCTACAATGTGCAACTCCATCAGGGGCATAGGAAGATGAGGGTGGAGTAGGGTGAAGGAACAGAGATCCAACAAATAAGAAGTATCAACTTTAGAAGAAAAAGGTCAGATCAAGCAAGTAAAAGGTAAAAGCTTTAACAGTTGTTTTGCTAAAGATAAAATTCTTACCCACTATCTGGGTAGAGGTGAAAAGTAAGGGTGTAAAGGGAAGCAAAAAATGCAAACCTTCTAGAAATTGTAGATAGTCCATCTAGGTTGAAAGATTAAGAGAGATTAATAAAACCGTGCCTTTAATTCTCTTTTAAAGTATTAATACAAAATAGTTTAATGGCTGGGGCAAAATCAGTAGGTACATAAGAAATCATGTTAATCTGACCCTCAGTGGGCTTCAGAAGCAAACTTCCAGAGAATAGCTTCAGAAAGAAAGGTTGTTGTTGTTATTGTGTGCCATCAAGTTGATTCCAACTCATAGCCACCCTATAGGATAGAGTAGAACTGCCCCCATAGGGTTTCCTAGGCTGAAATCTTTATGGGAGCAGATCACCAGGTCTTTTCTCCCAAGAAAGAAAGGTAGACCCTGTTAAGATGAACAAGAGTCACGGGTACAAATTCTCCTTGTGCCCACAACCATCTTGACTGACAGTTTGATGATTGTGGACAACCATCAGAGACCATGAGTGAGTCTATGGGGAAACCACCCAGAAAAGCCACCATCCAAATTTCCACACCCCTCTTTGGCAATTAAAGACATTTTCCTCAGCACCTCATGAGGATATTCAATTTCTTGTGCTTTCCAAGATCCATGTCAAGAGAAGTCAATCTGTCCACAGGAGGCGTAGTTTCCAAAGCTGTCTACTGTGAACCTCTGAGAGATGTGAATTGAGTTGAGCTTTAGGGCACCAAAGTAGAAGTTCTCAAATAGCTAAAAAGGAAAAGTAAAAACCATAATGAATATCTAAAGAAAATTATGTTTGAAATATTAATCATCAGATTCTCTAACAGAAACAGCAAACCACAACAATCCCCACAAACCTCTTGTGCTTGTTCTGAATAAGGATCCTAGAGAGTAGGGTTAGGCGTGGGGAAAGAACAGCCAGCTTTTCCTCTGATTAATTTTAAAGTCGTCCCTAACAAAATACACTAGAGAAAGAGGTCTGGAAAGTCAATTTTAAAATGTATCTACTGAATACATATGACCAAGAACTTGTAACAAACATCCTGGAGCTACACCCCAGCTCACAGGGCCTGGCAAAGCTGCTTCTATGACTTTTAGTTACTGACCATGAATACCCCCCTCAGGATCCTAGCTTTATCACAGTCAGGATAAAAGTCAGGTATAACACATAGCTCTACCTAGTCAACAATGTTTATTAGGAGCACTGACCAGAGATACAAGTAAAGAGAAGATAAGGCTGCTGACCCACAAATGATTCTAACAACCCAGTGAGGGATACAGAACACTTACACACAAAAAACAACCAGAGGAACACTTCTGCTGGGCAATATAACAAATGCAAATGATAATGTTTATCAAAAACCTTTAATTAGACTTGGAGTCAAGCCAGTGTCCTGAAGTAAGTGCTCTTTACTGCAATCCTTCACTTCATAAAAGCTTTCAAGTTGTCAGGGGAGGGATGAGCCATACTCCAGGAGGGACCTGCCCTCGTGATCAGCACATTTATAATGCAGAACCCAAAATGACATCAGAATTGATCCCAGGAGAATTCAGCCACATTGCTAGGATAAGGAGTGTTAAAGAGAACAGGGCTTACCTTCTTCTGTTAGGAAACAAGAGTTGCTCTTTCTTAAAATGTCACTGAGATCCCAAGACAGTCTTCCAATACATGTACCCAGCAATGCTTGAGCAGAACCTCAGGGTGGGATCTTTCTACACCAGTATGTGACTGTCTCTTCATTTATTTTTATACAGCCTCCACAGACACAGACTTTGGCCACTGTCGCCTTTCCTCTTCCTGCAATTAATGGCCTAGCAAAACGCCTGGGGTTCATTAAAGGCTAACTTTATAAAGCCCAGTAAATATTGATTCTTCAACATGACATCAACTTGACCCCAAAGATCTATTTAGAGGCTGTGTGCCACATTGTCTCGTCTTTCAGAAAGGTGATCAGCTCTTGCCTGTGCTGCTTTACACAATTAATGTCTCTTGCTGGCTGTGGCAGCCTGTTCAGACCATATCTACCCCTTTGTGTAAAGAAATTCAGCCTGAAACGGTTATCTGCTAATCCCTTTGCTGAACATTAATTTGAAGTGAAAGCCACATCAATGAGACTGACAGATTCATAGCTTTGCAAACTGAAACCTCCTGGGCACAAAAAGGGCATAACCAAAGGGGCAATAAAAGAAGAGACAAAACAAAACTAAAAGGGAACTCATAATGCTTTCAACAAGTTACTTAGGAAGGACTGGCAGCCTATGAGTCCTCCACCACCTCATGTAATGGAGATGCCACAGTTACAAGCAGGAAATGACCTACATGTGACTTACCTCTGCTTTGTGGATAACCTTCAGATGGCATGATTTGCCAGGGAGATTCGCTTGCTTTAGGTTTAAAGTAAATGTGGCAATGATGGAGTCAGCTGGGATGTGATTGAAATGCAGTGATTACAGAAAGTAAGAGAGAAGACTGAACATAAATTCTCATGCCCCACCAAGGCTGTGGAAAGAATACTGAAGTCAGAATCTAAACTTACACCCAGAACATGGGAGCTGACTTTGAATAGATGATACCACCCACTACTGTCGCTGTTAGGTGCCATGGAGTCAATTTTAGACTCACAGTGACCCCATGTGACAGAGTAGAACTGCTCCATAGGGTTTCCTAGGCTGTAATCGTTATGGGAGCAGATCGCTAGGTCTGTCTCCTGCGGAGCCACTGGGTGGGTTCAAACTGCCAACCTTTTGGTTAGCAGCTGAGTGCTTAACCGTTGCACTTACCACCCATATGCCTATTTCATAAGGAATCATGGGCAAAGATCAAATATGCTAAACAAGTGAAAGTAATACTGAAACATTAGGTATTTCCTATCATTGTGTGCGTGGTTTTTTTTTTGGTCTCTCTGTTCTCCTTAGGGAAACCCTGATGGCGTAATGGTTAAGAGCTATGTCTGCTAACCAAAACGTCAGCAGTTCAAATCCACCAGGCGCTCCTTGGAAACCCTATGGGGCAGTTCTTCTCTGTCCTACAGAGTCACTATGAGTCGGAATTGACTTGATGGCAATGAGTTTGGTGTTTTTTTTTTTTGTTCTCCTTAGGAGCGCTGGTGGCACAGTGGTTAAGAGCTCAGCTGCTAACCAAAAGGTCAGCAGTTTGAATCCACCAGGTGCTCCTTGGAAACCCTATGGGGCAGTTCTACTCTGTCCTATAGGGTCACTACGAGTCAGAATCAACTCGACAGCAATGGGTTTGGTTTGGTTTGGGTTCTCCTTAACGTTGTATTTATTTTACCTACATAGGTTGCCATCTTCTCTCGTACTTTTGATAATATCATGATCAAATGGATTTCTTGTCCACAAGTCCCTAGTGCAGAGCCAATCTTCATTTTAGCCTTTTCCCGTCTCCAATTCTTGTTGTCCCTGTGCGTTTATACTACAGATGATTTAGAAATAATTTTTCAGTTATCTTATTATTTAGTAGTATTATAGCTTAAGTCTTCAGCCTTTCTTTTAGTTCTGTCAATTACTTCTAGTGACTCATTGGACTATAAGCTACATAGAGGGAGGAGCCTTCATATTATTCACAATGGAAAACCCAGCACTTGTAACAGTATCTAGTAGATTGGATATGAGCAATATTTGCTGGATGTGACAACTGAAACTAATGTTGTAGATGTCTGTGTACCTTATGTCTGAAAAGATAAAATTATGTTATGTACTTGTTGAGACTGGATTTAAAGGTTTAATTTATAGGTCATCATCTAGGAATCCCTGAATAAGACTTACCACTATTAGATTACCTCTATTCAAGAGAAAGGGGGGTATATCTCCTGTATACCTAGTTCTCAAGAAAAAATCTGTAGTTAGTAATGGAAATTTCATGTACTGATTCAAATTTCTATGTGTTTCTTATTTGCCAAAGCCTAGATCCCAGTCTTAGCTCTAGTTCCTGATCTGGAATATTGCTGAGCACTTGATGTTATGCATTTGCTGTGCAAAGAGGCATATGACAAGGTTCCTGACTCCCACGTGCTTACCACCTAGTTAGGTGGTAACTATCCATGCATATCAGAAGAGAGGATTGCTGATGGCATGGGTGTGTTCACACTGTGAAGTCATGGAGTGGTATACTCTGTGATCTGTGCACTTTCCTGGATGCACGATCTACTTCAACTAAGAGTTTACCTACAACAATGAGGGTAGCAAAGGTCAAGTGTGAGGTGAGAGGTGCAGGCACTAAGTGCAGCTGGAGGTAAGGAAACAATGGACACTGGGGTACCTAGGAAAGCCATGGGAGGAGGCAGGAACTGAGCCAGGCCTGGTGCCAAGTACAGGACTCAGGGAAGAGAAGAAGAAGAGGGTGGGGAGCATGGAGGAGAAAGGGACATGGTGGGCAGTGGCCAAGTGGACCAGCTTAGATGTATGGAAGCAGTGAGAAAGGCTAAGGCTAGAGACGTACAGAGAGTGAATCAGGTTAAGGGGGGCCCCTGAGGGGCTGATTCTGAAGTTAGACTTCATCCTAGACAGAGAGAAACCATTGAAGGTTTTTGGGTAGGTTGATGGCCTGATAAAAACAACGTTTAAGGGAGATTAATCTGGGTGTGGCATATTGTGCTGATTAGAAAAGGGACAAGAGAAAGGAAGGACAGGAGATCACCACAGCAGTGCAGTTATGAGGGAGATATTGGGTGTCTCCAGAATAAAACAGTAGCAGTGGGCCTGCGAAGACTGGGGCAGATGGGAGATACTATAAATGAAGCCCACACAGGACTCGGTGACTTTTCTGGATGAGGGGAAGGGAACAGGAAAAGCAGATGAGAAAAATCATGGAAGACAGGGTAAATGAGGGTATATGAGGGTACCACTGATAATAAAAGAACATTTCTGAGGGAGTTATTTTACAGGGAAAAACAAAAGAATTCAGGTCTATTTATACACACTCATGGCTATATCCTCAGCTGTATGTGTCCCGAGCACTTCTTTAATCTAGGGTTTTCCTGGAAGGTTCTGAAGGTATGTATTAAAGACAAGAAATCTATAGCACAGCTAGGTGGAAGTATGTCACAATAAAGGCTTTACGACTGTCCATTTTTCTACTGCACTGTAATTCTTTATTAGGGAAATGAGCTCTTTGTGTTAAGAATTGCAAATATACTTTTCTCCTAGTTTACCATTTGTCTTTTGACTTTGCTTATGGTGGTTTGTACCATGTGTCATGGATTGAATTGTGTCCCCCCAAAATATCTGTCAACTTGGTTGGCCATGATTCCCAGTATTGTGTGAATTTTGTCATCTGATGTGATTTTCCTGTGTGTTGTAAATCCTATCTCTAATATGATGTTGATGAGATAGGATTAGTGGTAGCTATGTTAATGAGGCAGGACTCAATCTACAAGACTGGATTGTGTCTTGAGCCAATCTCTTTTAAGATATAAAAGAGAGAGGCAAGCAGAGTGACATGGGGACCTCATACCACCGAGAAACAAGAGCCAGGAGAATAGTGCATCCTTTGCACCCGGGGTCCCTGTGCTAAGAAGCTCCTCGACTGGGGAAGACTGATGACAAGGACCTTCCCTTGGAGCCAATACAGACAGAAAGCCTTCCCCTGGAGCTGGCACCCTGAATTCGGACTTCTAGCCTCCTAGACTGTGAGAAAATAAACTTCTGTTTGTTAAAGCCATCCACTTGTGGTATTTCTGTTGTAGCAGCACTAGATAACAAAGACACCATGTATATTTAAATTTTAA